GTCAGGGTTTCCACTTCAGGGCTAGAGGGGCTAGAGGCGGGCTTAGGGTTCAGCTGGGTGGGGCCTTGGGTCGAATCTCAAAGCACGACCTTTCAGAAAGAGATGCATGGCAGAGCGGCCATTCAGCAGGCGTGTGCCTCGACTTGCTTGCATGGTGAGAGTGGTCAGGAGTCAACTGTGGGAACCAAGTTCACCTGTGCGGGGGCTGGTTAGATGGACCACCTTCAAGCACCATTGCTCCCTTCTGCACACCCGCTCCTTCCCATGTTCAACAGGCGGATGGGGTGATGTGTTCCCTCTTGCCTCCATGCCTCCTTCCTTCAACCACCCCCGTTTGCTTTTGCGCCCCCATGCTTCCACACCACCTTCATCACGTCGGATGAGGCAAAAGCCATGTACGAGAGGCTGGCAAAAGCCACGTACAAGAGGCTGGCAAAAGCCATGTACGAGAGGCTGACAAAAGCCATGTACGAGAGGCCGACAAAAGCCATGTACGAGAGGCTGACAAAAGCCATGTATGGGAGGCTGACAGGGCATCATTTTCCTACGGCTATCTGTTCCCCCACCCACCAACACACGCGCCTTCCCTCCCTCCCCCTCTTCCCGCAATTTTTTTGTCGACTCTAAAGTCGCACAGCTCCGTCTCCCTTCCCCCCCCCACATTCATGTATGAATGAGAGGAAGGCACCCCAACGAAGGGGTCAAGAGGAAGGCCTCTTGCCTCCATGCTTCCTCCCCCCACCCACCCACCAACCCACGAAGGCAAGCAAACCGTCCCCACCCCCCCCCCCCTCCCCCCAACCAGGTCAGGCAAGGCCAAGGCCATGTATGAGCGGCTGACAGGGCATCCCAACGAATGAGTCTTACCCTCCTTTCCCCCCCACACACACACAAACTAACCTTCCGCGTTTCCCCCATTCACCAGGTCAGACGAGGCCAAGGCCATGTATGAGCGGCTGACAGGGCATCCCAACGAAGGGGTCAAGAGGAAGGCCCGGCAAATGCTGTTTGGGTTTCAGGTGAGGAAAACGGTTCAACATTTCATATATTCCATGGTTTTTCCGCTATTCCCTGTTGACTCCGTATGCTGCTTGTGTCGGCATGTTCTGGAATTTGTAACACTCTCAGTCACCCTTCTGTTTGTCAGGGTTTCATCTTCAATCATCTGTTCTTTTTAACATGTTTGCTGCGTTGCTGTAACAGGCAGCAGAGAATCTTCGCTTCACTGGTGGCTCAGACTACGACTCGTCTTGGTACAAGAAATACTTTGACGCATTCGCAAAAGGCTCCAAGTACAATAATGTCTACAAGGCAACGCAAGAGGATGAGGAGGAGAGCAACAAGCAGCTGTTGCAAGATGCGCTACTGTATGGGCTCTTGTTGCTCATGCCTGTTGTGCTTATTCTGGCAGTGGCGGCAACAAGGAATGCGACCTGATGGTTTTCTGCTCACTCCCATATTTCAATTGTTGGGAATACACTGCTAGTGGCTGGCCTTCAAGAGAACATTCATTTGAGCCTTTTTTGTAAAATCAGCTCACTGAGTAATGCACATTCCTCCAAGCGGTGCTTTAGGTGAACTTATCCTCAGCTGTCCACACAATCTTCCTGCAGCCCCTCAGCTCCTATGTTGGTACTGTAGTACATGATATATTCGTATATACCAGGCTACATGATTGATCTCATTGCTACAGCTTCAAAATGCCCCGGCAACACGTTTTATTATAACGAGCATCTCACGTTTGATTGGTGTAGAAGGACGCAGTTCCATTGAGTGGGTTGATGTGGGGTGAAGTAGGGTGATGTGGGTTGTGGGGTGGGGCAAGGTGGAGTGGGATGGAAGAGAAACCATGAGTGTGGCATGGGAGATGCCGCAATCACTGTACACCCTTATTCTCGTTAGACTGGCATATGTTATACTGTCCACGACGCTTAGTGTAGCCGCAGCGGACCAAAGAAGGTCCTATCACATGCGTTATACTGACAGTTTGACCCAGGGCGTTTAGTCAAGGTTCTCTACGTTCTAAAATGGTAATGCTGTTTTCTAAACGGTTAAGACAGTTATTCAGCGTTAACGGAATTTTACGGCCCAAGTCTGGTTTCGTCGCCTCGTGCGACTTGGCCCGCAACCGAGTTATCTCACCAGCCCGCTACGTCCAAACACTGTAGCCACTGCTTCCGCCGGTGAGAAGACTGAGAATAAGGGTGTACATAACATTTACTGTACAGCGTGATCCACCGACACGGCCCACCAGTTGGAATCGGCTGGCTAGACATGGTGCGAGGTAGTGTGGCGTCGTTGCATCCCCTATCAGACGCGATTTGGTTTCTGACACTAAGAAATGTTTTCGCAGACATCCCTTTAACCCCTTTAGTGAGGGTTTTCACAAAGATCACAGCGAAGGCGAAATCAGATGTCATGGGAGAAACAGGCCCATGGCACTAGTCGGAAAACCTTTGCAGTGGAGAGATTACGCAGTCTGTGCATACTGTACCAAGTTGTTTGCAGGGCCAGAAAGTCAAAACCCAACCACTTTTCTGATTCTTCACTCTGCCACCGAAACACCGCTCACGCTCCACCAAATCTGAAAGGCTGACCGAAAACACGTCGATGTTGGTCCTTGCCGGAAGACTTGTTTCAAATGGCCCGAGGCGGCCTCCCCCCCCACAAATTCCCGCCCAGGCAGGTCCGCCTGGGTCATCCTCCCCTTCATCCTTCGGTCTGGGCATCCCCATTCCGCCCTCCCCAGCATCCCCATCCCGCCCTCCCCGGCATCCCCATCCCTCTCCCTCCAGCCTTGGTATCCCCAGATCATCCCTGTTCGCCTTCAGCACCCCAAACCCGAGATTTCTCCCGCCCCCGCAGCAGCTCCCTCCCGCATTGACATCCCCACCAAACCATCCATCGTCCGCCTCCGTTGCTTCCCGCTTCCGCGTAGGGCAGGATGTTTGATTGGTCTTCCTCCCCAAAACCACTGACCACTGGCCTAGGACTGTAGCGCCACGAGGTACGACCAGCTTAGCATAATATAGCTCAGCCGACGAAAACTGCCGCCCATTTTCGCGGTTCAGAACGGACAACCCCCCTCCTCGGGGTCGACGACCCCACGACGACCTCCGCGTGGAAAGCCCAGGCTATCTGGCTGGGCCAGGTGCTGGTGAGCCCTCGGGATGGTCGACCACCTGTCGACCTAGAGTTCCGCTGAGACAATTCCGAGAAGGACGTCTCAGCCGCGTGTCAGAATACCAGCTCGGCAAGTCGGGCCGCGATGATCGCCACGCGGCCACAAAGGGACGCCCGAGATAGTCCCCTGGATGGCGGGGCCACCTAGGTCTGCCAGGTTGGACACGACGGGCCAACGGAAGGTCGGGGTGCTTCGCTTGGGAGAATCTCGCGCATGAACGTGGCAATGTCGGTGCATACCACACGGCATTCATCCAACGGTTGCTCACATGCGCAAGGAGAAATCCGGCCGTCCACTATCTATGGCTACGTGCAGTGGACACTGATGATGCGGGACCTGTCGGCGTCGACCAGAAGAGCATCATCGTGGTGCCACACGGCAGTGTCTCCCGACCTCGACCTACCGAGGTGCACCTAATTCGGGACCACGCCACGTTGCCGCACGAAAGAGCCAGCGTGTAGCAGCCACGAAAAGAGCATGATGAGCGAAGCGCTTCAAGCAAGCAGCCATGCACGCCTGGTGGCACGTCGGACACGGCGCCGCCGCACGAGCGTACATGCATGGCGGCGTCGTGCACTGGGGTTTGCGTGGAGCGCCAAGTGGTGCGGAGTCGCTCACGACCATCCCCATCCGTGGTCCCCGAAATGGTCGCTCATTCCGCCTGCCATTGTGTGTGCCATTGCTTTTTTTTTTTACCACTGACTTGACGGCCGGCACTTTGATTTTCTCTAGAGGCGTAACGTCGGCGTCGTGATAGTAGGCAGACGTGGTCGCCGACCTCTCGTAGGATTGTCTGCTGTCCCGACCTGCCAGATACCGCCGACATAGAATACGCATTAAGTAGTTTATCGACCTCACCACGCCGACTTCCTATCGCCCTAGGTCGCGGTATCATGGCCAGAGGACAGCCTCGTTCGACACCGCCGCAAACCAACCCACCCCCCGCCGATGTCGACATGACGGACCTCATGAACCCCGCTAGCCAGGATGAGGACGTCCGCCCGGTAGACCGTACACCGACCAGTAACCCCTCGTCGACTTTGCCGCTGCTTTACGATCTCGACGCCCTGGCCCAAATCCCGCAGGGAGAGTTCACCAAGGACGTTCCGCCCGCGCCGATAGGGGAGTTCACGAAACCACGCAAAACGTCGACGCCGACGGATGCAGGGGAGGCCGGGCCGTCGTCTGTGCCGGACGGATCGGGCGACCAGGATGAGGACGATTATTCATCGGCGAGCGACGACGACGACGAAGACGACCCGCGGCCCCGACGTGGTGCAGGTCCGCGCACATTGGAAGAAAAACTCAGGGGGGAACGTGCGTTCATAGAGGAACTGTTGGACGAGAACGAGCTTGAGGATCTGCTGCACACGTCGGTCCCTCGAGAAATGTGGAAGGCGGCCGACTTCGTAGAGGAAGATATGGTGTATGCGTGCGTCGACGTGCTCGTGATGGAGGCAATGCGCCACCTGAAAACCATAGAGGCCAAGAGCACGCTCAAGTCCTACACCTCATGGATATACGACTACAAAAGGTGGACGGCGAAGATGCTTAAAAAAATTGGCGACAAACTGCCGACAGCAGAACAAATGAGGCACGTCGACGAGATAGAGCACTGGACACACAACAACAAGAGCAAGGATTGGGACAACGAGAAGGTGGTCAAGCGGAAGCACATATGGCTGCACGGCCCCCGGGTCACTAGTACGCGACTGCGCGCCTACATCAAGTTCATGAGGCGGGAGTACAAGATCGACGCCGACACGAACGAGCCAGTGCGAGCCTACACGGTGCACATGATCCTCGGCCGCATCAAGGCCTGCCAGATGGCGGCGAGGGTGGAGGCGACGCTCTTCAAGGAGAAGGAGTTGGGCATCATGCGGGAAATCTCGGTGGTCCGGTCGGAGGTGCGGGTCATGGTCCGCACGAAAAATCAGAGGGACCTCGAGTAAGTTGGCATGCATCGCCGTGTTATGTCGCCATCGATTTGTTTCCTCGCCCTAATATTCATATCCATATATTGTTATGTCGACAGTAAATGCGCCGACCGTCGACGCGGCACCATCGGCGACACATACACCGCCGAACAGTTCCGCCAGATAATGACGAGGGTGCTGCCGGCTTGGGCGGCGTCGGCATGGAGCCCGCATTTCACCACACCTTCGCAGACGCTGTGGAGGTTTCTTCTCATCAAGGTGCTCACGCTGCTCTCCCACCACAGCCTCATGCGCGGTGCAAGCATACGCGAGATAACGCTCCCCGACATCTTCCTGTACCGACTGGCGAGCACCTCGTCGGTGAACCCGGATAACCAGCCGGTCGTCATGGTGGTCGCCGCGCGGAACTCGAAGACGTCGAAGGATGCGCGTCTTCAACAGAGCTACGCGGCGCGGCACCTAGAAGCGGAGTTGTGCGCCGTCGGCGAGACCGGGCTGTGGTTACACTTCGTCCTCGACCAGATCGGCCAGTTTCACGGAGTCGACCTCATTCCGCCGGTCGACACCAGCACACGCGAGCTCTGGTACAAGAAGCACCTGTTCTTCGCCCGCAACGACCCCGAGCAGGGCGAACTCTCAGCTCCCAGCCACCAGCGATGGACGAGGCAGATGTGGAAGACGAACGGGGTGTTCTGCAAGCGGAACGTCCATGCCGCTCGGGCGGGCGGGGCGCAGGAGTTGGCCATCCAAGGTACGCCTCGCGCCGAGATAGCCGAGCTGGGTCACTGGGCTCTCGACAAGATGACTCGAGCCTACATCACGTCCATTCCCGTCGGCGTGGTGATGAAGAAGGCCGGCTATTCGGGATTCACGCAGGACTACTTCTTGGGTCGCAGTAGGGTGGAACCGGGAGACGAACTCCTCGCTCTCATCGCCGAGCACATCTTCCCCGACGTCGACGACCTCCTCAACAAGGTTTGTTTATCGGTGCCGACCAATCTTGCATGGTACTGTCCTATCCACCATGGAGATAACCCCCGTCTGATGTCTAACTGCAGGCAGAAGAACTCGCGAAGAAGGGGTCCGACGCCGACGTTGCGGCCGTGCATTTCTGGCGCACCCTTCTGATGTTCCGCCGCATTGTCGCCGAGGACCTCGCGGTGAAACTCGTCCGCACCCCTTGGCACCCGTACATCCAGTATTCCAAGCTCTGCCGGATTCCCCTCTTCCAGCACTGGGCGAAGAGGGTCGAGAAGACCGACACCGACACCATAAAAAAGCGGCAAGATCCAACCCTCATCCAGCCAGAGGTAGGTCATCTTTTATGCCGACGTCGCGATGTTATCTATGACCGCTACAACCCCTCATCTGCACCGTTATTCGCATACCATTGCAGGAGATATCGGTCCGCCATGACGCCCAGTTCGCGGTCGTCTCCCTCACGGAGACGCTTAAGCTCGAGAGGGAGCGGTCAACGGTCCAGAAGCTCGACCTCGAGGAGAAGATCGAGAATCGCGACGCAACCATCGCGTCGCTCGCGGCCGAGATAACACGCCTCACCGAGGCTCTCCGCGTTTCAGAAGCTCGAAGGATGCCGGAGGCGCCGCCAGCTGCTAACGACCAGTCGCCGAGCGACGGTGGCTCCGCGGAGTCGGCAAGCAGGGGTGGAGGAGCCAACAAACCCAATAAACCCCCACAGACGGTCGAGGAGGCTAGCTACGAGCTGAACGTAGTGCAGCCTTGGCGGACTGCAACGACCGTCAAGGACGCGTGGCGCCTCTGGACCTCGTGCACCAGCGCCGACACCCGTCGTCTGTGCGACAGGTTCAGGGAGCCGGGATTCGTCGACCGCCACACCCTCCTCGACGGAGCCTCGCAGGGAGCACACGGGACGAGGGTGCGCCGCATGATGAAGGTCATCGATGCGGTGCGCCAGCTTCGCAGGAGCGACGGCGAAGCCGACACGGAAGCCACCGTCGACGCGCTTAACAAGATAGCGTCGCCTGGCATTGGGACCTTCGCGGATGCCCTCACGGTGCTCAACGCGGACGCCGTAGCGACCTATGCTGGGCAGGGTAAGGGCGTCAAAGGGCTCGGCAAGACGGAATTTTCCAAGCTTCGTGTCGCCTGTGCGTTCGTGGCGCGCGGGCTCAAGCCCGAAACGTGGGTCGCCGACCTGTTCCCGGACACCTGGGTTGAGCAGATGAAGAAGACGTTGGCCGACCTGGCCCGCGAAAACGACGCCGGGCAGCTGCCTCCGACCAATAAGTCGACCAAGCGCAAGAAAACCGCTTGAATGTTCCCAGGCCTCCTGCTACTGTGGCCTGTTGCATGTTGTAGATGTTGATGCAGCATGCCTATGTTTCATACTGATACTGATGTCGACTTTTTGTTTCTCTCAATGATCCTGTTGTTCTCGGCCTAGCGGGGCATTCACGTGTCGTTCAAACTGAAGTAGACAATCATTACTAGCTAATGTGTTCATTACTCATCCTACGTAAAGTAGACAGGCACGCACAAAAAAAAACACAAACAAAGAGCATCAAAGGGATCCGACAGCCAAAACAAGGAAAACGGTATCGACCATTTCATCATCGAGTCCACGCAGCACTCAATCTTAGCATGCCGTCGACTAGGCCGTCGTGCTGTCCTTCTTCGACTTCTTGACCTTCTCCGTGCCGCCCTTGGTCTTCGTCCCCTTCTTGCCCCTCAGACCCTTCCTCCCCCTGTTGTCAAGATCGGCCTTCATCTGCGCGTCAATCGGCACCGCGATGTCCCTCGCTCTTAGTTTCGGCCCGGCGACGGGGCACATTCCCCAAAACGCCATCGTCTCAACCGTCGCTCTAGCGATAACGTCGGCATCTACTCCAGCATTCCCCCCCGGATATACCGTATCAAGGGCGGTCCTCTGGAGTGCTGGCGCGACGTTGTAGGCAACCTCTCCCAAGGGGCGGTCCCTGTTCATCTCGGCTTTCAGCACCGCCTCCATGACTTTTCCGAATACATCGGCGGTCGCCTGGCTCGCTCCGCCGATGATCGCCGCCGACTTCCCTTCTTCCACAGCATCCGCCAGCTGGGCATCGCCGTTCTCGACGAAGCACCACACAGCGCATGCGGATGCTGCTAACGCCCATGCCGCCATATCCGTCTTCTCCTCCTTGTCTCCCTCCTTCTTCGCCGCTGCCGCAGCGGTCTTCCCATATGCAGCGCACATTGACACGCGGCCTATCATCGCCGACATCATGGACGCCGACTTCTCCCGGCCTTCCTCGGTGCTAGCATCGACTGGGTACCATATCGCTGGCAGGAGCGCGGCGTGGAGACAATCGCCTGTGGACTTGTAATGGCGATACGCGTCGAGGATCTCCGTCAGCCTGTCACGCCACCACAAACAGGGCGAACATGAGTGACAACGACAACGACATCGACTTTGAATCGGAGGATTGCCGACTTACCGTGTCTTTGGAAGGAGCGTACCCCGGGCCCACATCACCGTCCACATCCCTGTCGGCAAGATCCTGACCTCCTCCCACACCTCCTTCCACCTCTCCAATTCGGCGCTGTCCAAGCCGGTGAGCTCGGTCATGAGCACCTTGCTCACGAAACCGTCGTAGACGACGTACGCGATGGAGTGAACGTACGCGAGCTCCATCTTGTCCCGCGACTTGCCGATGTATCGATTGATGCCGTGCACCTTAATCTCGCCGACCCACCCTTGCTTGTCGCCCGAGGTATCGTGTCCGATGCCATGACCCCTCCTCTCCTTGCCCTTCCCCTCCTCCTCCTCCTCCTCCTCCTCCTCCTCTTCCTCCTGCTCGACCTCCTCCACCTCCTCGACATCCTCATCCTCCTCCTCCGCCTTCCTCTTTCCCTTTCTCCCCTTCGAGGAACCCTCGCCGACCGCCTTCTCCTTCCCCTTTCTCCCGGTCGACGCACCTTCTCCGACCGACTTGTCCTTCCCCTTCCTCCCCGTCGACGTACCCTCGCCGGGCGACTTCTGATTCTCCCCTTTCCCTTCAACCTCCCCAATGCCGCCTCGATCTTTGTCCGCCGCCGTCTCCGCCGCCATCCCCTTCTGTTTATCCGCCGCCTTCACCTCCGACTTCTCCCGCGTCTTCCTCTGTGAGCCCGCCTTCCCCTTCCGTTTCGACTTTCCCTCACCGACCGCATCACCGGTCGCACTAGGCTCTGCCGCGATGCCGACGAGTCCCGCCGAAGGCTCCACATGTTCCGTGTCGGAGATGGCCAGGGTTCTGGGATTGGCTGCATCCAGATGGGCCTGTATGGCAGCGATATCAGCGTCTGCGGGGACCTCCTCAACGGCGCCGCCGCCGGTGGCAAGCGCGGCACGAACGCCCTTCTCCGCCGCCTTCTCCACATCAGCTGCCACATGGGTGGGTGGTGCGACATTCGCCGACGACGGCTTAGAGCCAGAGCCAGAAGCCTGCTGAGTCCTCTCAGTCGACGCTAGTGCGCCCAGCTGGGCGCGCAACAACGCGGACTTTGGGTCTGCAGGAGCACGGGCGGCGACGACCGGCACTACACGTGGCCCACTGGCCGATGGGACGTCGACAGCAGGGGGGGCCTGTTGAACAGCCCTGTGGCCGGCTAGGAGCCTGAGCTGCTCCTTGAGCGCGTCCGCAACTGCCGCCCCTTTTCCCGCGCGGCCAACCTTGTCGGCAGACGGTACGTCGGCATGGCGCGGGACGTCGGTAGGTCGCCCGGCAGACGGTCCGGTCGGATGGCGTGCACCCGCGGGAGACTGGTGAGGAACCGCTGACGCCTCCGCAACCCCCGTCTTCGGGCCCTGGCCAGCTTTCGCGGACCCGCCTGGGGCCGTTTTGGCGGCGGCCTTCTCCTTGTCGCGCAGGCCTTTCACACCGCTACCCTGTCGTGGTGGCTTAACGCCGACCGAAGGCGGAGCCATTGGCAGTGCGTCATCAGTGGCATGCTCGTCGGCGGGACCCCCACCACCATGGCCCGTGCTGGCCGCTCCAACCTGAGCCCAGTGCTTCCTGAGGATGTCGACCACGCTCTTCCCCGACTGCTTCAACGAACTGCCGTCGCCGGCTCCCATGCTCCCACCGCCGCCAGACCCCCCGCCTCCCTTGCTCCGCTTCGTGTTCGCCGAATTGTCCCCGTCGCCCCCCCCGCCGCCTCCCCGCCTCTTGTGACCCAGCTTCAAGCCCTCCGTTGGTTGCGCTTGGCCGGCGTCGTTTGCCGACGGCGACGACCCACGCCGAGCATACGCCACCGTGCCGACGACCTCGGCCATAATCTTCAGTCCGGAGGCGAGGAAGGACTGCTGCGTGGTCTCCGTCACCGCCTTCAGCACGTCCTCCTTGAAAGACTTCAGGAAATCTTCCGGCAAGGCCTGCGCTGGGCCGGTAGGCGGCGGCGGCTGGACTAGGCGGGGCGCGACGGCGGCGGCAATGTTGGTCTGCGCGGCGCCGATGTATTTGATGAACGACTCCTCCAACCCCTTCCTCGCCTCGCCCACCTCCGCCGTCACGTGCTCGGTCACTGTCTTCACCGCGGTCGCGCGTGCGACCGCCGCTCGTCCCTTGGGGTCGTCAAGATCCAGCAGCGTCTGCCTCGCTAGCTCGGCGAAGGACTTGGCCGATTGAATGGCGCTGTCCATGTTGTCGGTGAGGCCCTCGGTGATTGTGGTCGCCATGGTCGACGTGGCCTCTTTGAGGCGCTCCTCCGATTTCCGGTCGGTGTCGGCGACCTGGGCGGTCAAACCCTTCAACTTCTCGAGGAGCCCAGCTAATGCCGCCGCCAAGCTGTCGACCCGCCCCGTCTGCTCACCGAGCCGCCGTTCAAGGAGTGCATTGTCTGCACGCAATCGCCTGTTCTCCGCCCTCAGCTGATCGACGACGTCCAGCCGCGCCTGCCGCCCAGCCGCGGTGGAACCGGGATGACCGCTCGCCGCCTTCTTCCTCCTAGACCGCTCCCCGCCGGCCTTCTCCGCGGTGGCATCGGTATGCACATCCACGCCCCCCTGCTCCGGGACCGCGGCGTTATCCCCTTCACCGACCTCGACCATGCCACCACCTCCGTGAGCCGCCTCCACGCCGACCTCGCCGATATTCGCTGTCGCACCCTTCCCCTCCCCTTCGTCGTTCTCGACATCCGCCGATCTCCCACCCGTTTCCTCCGCTCCTCCGACAACGTACCCCTCCGCTCCTCCGACAACGTACCCCTCCGCCATTTCCACGTCCTCCACCTCTACCAACTGCTCCTCCTGGTGCTGCCTCTCGTGCTCCTGCGTCTCCTGCTCCTGCTCCTCCTCCGACTCCGACTCCGAGCCCGATCCCGACCCCGACCTCGACCCCGACATCGACCCCGACGACTCCTCCGAGCCCCCCTCACCCTCACGTTCCTCCTCGCGATCCTGGGCCCCATCATCATCCCCGTGAGCAACCTCGGTCCCGGTCACCCCCTTTCCTGCGGCCGCATCGGCCTCGTCGACGCCGACTCCCGACTTGCCACGCGCATCAGCGACGTTCGGGGCGACCCCTACTGGCACGGATGCAGAATGGACTTCCTCGCCGTCGTCGTCACAGGCGTCGGCAGCAACAACGGTTTTCCCCGACCGTATGAGCGGGACTTGCTTCTTGATGAGGGCTACCATCTCGTTCCGCAGCGCCTTCAACCCCGAGACGGTGGGCTTGTCCATGCTGGTGGCAATGCGACGGAGGTCGCCGGTCAGGCGCTGGAACCGCCTCACAACCCAGATCAACGCGCTCATTGCTAGCAGGCCGGAGCCCGCGTCCGAGTCCCGGACGGTATCGGGAATTTTCTGCATACAACAGTGCAGAGAGCAAGGATGAGGGCGGCGTAGATGTGACACCATATGACGGCGAATCGTCCGTAACTCACATCTCGAAGGGGTTCGTCGCAGTCGGCGAGCCTCTCCTGCACCTCGTCTTCGGACGGCTTCGCCCACTCCCATTTCCTACCCTCGCGCCGCAGCTCGGCCAGAACAGCGGTCCGGAAAAACCTGCAAAAGCACGGCAAGGACGGTCGGTTAGCACGGTGCACGCGCCGTGTCGACAATGTATGCGATGTCGACTAAACTATCGAGCTCACTTCAGCACGCGGATCGCCTCGTCGCGGTGCCACTCCTTCACTGTCTGCGGGTCGGCGTGCCGGATCGAGGTCCTGACCTCCTGCCCCGAGGCATTGAACAAATCGCCGGGGCACAGGATGAGAACGACGCTGCAATGTGCTCCCGGAAGCGGTGCGATGCTGCACAGACAAGGCACGTCGATGGCGCTCAGAACAAATCACCGACACAGGTTGCAGCACACAGCAGGACCTCGAACCTGCTCACCTCGATATCAGTGGGATAACCGCCACGTCGGCGTCGAAAATCGTCGCAAAGCATGTGTGGTCGTCCTGACCCATCGCCGCCCGAAGCCGGCCGACTCCTATCGACCACAATCGCTCGCCTGCATCCGTTGAGCGGATCCATGCGTGCCTGCACGCATGCATGATTACAACAGATTAGAGAGGTATAGGTGCGCGGCACGACGGTGGAATGACGGGAGCCGAACGACTTCGGCACAACTCAGCGTCGTCGACGACCTAACGCATTACGTCGGCATCACCGATGTGATGTGCCTGAACTCTAAGCCCGTCGACATATACTACTGGACGCATTGAAACCCCGCCATGGCCGACCAGCATGGAATAGGCCCGTCGACGACGACATCTCAATAAGACACTCACTTGAGACCGAGTCCCAAGCAACGGGCGTTAAACTCTAGCATAGGGTTTGTCAGAACGGCGTAGTCGTGCTCTTCGAGCTTGGCCGTGTGTCCTCTACCGATGTCTAGATGCAGGGGGAAATCTAGCGAGGTCGGCGCCGCTTCGGCGGCTTTCTGGCCGGCTGCCATGGCGGGAGAGCGAGGATGCTATGCTACAGGCTAAGGGAAGAAGCGGTGGGAGTATGGAAGGCGCCGAGGTGGGAGGAAAAATGAAAGAGAAACGAGAACGCGAAAATGAGGGGCCAGTCCACCTCCAGCGAAGAAAAGCCAGGCGGAGCCACGCAGGCCCGGTTGAGCGTCGCCCAGGGGGCCGTGATGCCTGGCTCGGCAGGGCTCGTGCACAAGTTGCGTGGCACAAGTGCACCCTCGCCGCCGAGCCAACAGGTCGACGTCACGTGCCCCGGCCTCGGTCGGCCAGGGGACGCAACTTCGCGTGGGCGCGGTGCGACGTTTCGGCACCACGTGTCGATTTCGCAGAGGGTCGCGAAAGCCGTGCGCCCCGTGGCGAACGACCCAGGTTTTCGCTCGAGTTTCGGGGGGTACGAAATGTCTCATGCACGCGATGCGAAATGACGGGCGAGCACGTGGCGTCACCGCAACGGGTCGCGAAATAGTCGAGCGACCCGAGGGGAGCCCCCGATTTTCGCGTGGACCTCGCCTGCCCGTACGGGCAGGCCGCGATGGGTTACTAGGGCCTCGCGGGCACGAGGGAGGGGTGGGCTGCCTTCGCGGCAGGGTTACTTCCCCTCGCCCGAGGTCTCGCCAGCTCGCCGCCCCCACCCGGTAACGTGGGTCGCTGTTCACTCTCGGGGGGGGGGGGTTGCGGGGCGGCGGTCGTGCGCCCGGCCCAGCCCAGGGCCAGGCTGGCGGGCCCGCACGCGCGTCACTCGCCCGCCTCGTCAGACCCCTGTCCGTCGACCCCCCTCGTCGACCCTGGCAACTCGATTCCGTCGACCTCATTCCGCTGGGATCTTCAGCCAATAACATCTCCCCCAAGAACATACAGTGTGGTTTCTCCCCTCTCTCCCCCCCATTCCCCTCCAACATTTCCGGACCAGACCATCGAAGCTCGCAGGTACAGGTTGGGCGGGTGGCGCCACTGGTCCGCAAAACATGGCCTTTTTCGGCCCTCCAGACCAGACCAGACATGCGATGGGATGGAATGAGGGAAAGCCACGTCTATCGAAACATCCCCCAAACCAGACCTAACGGTACAGTAACAGCCTCGGCTCTGCTCTACCTCGTCGCTCGCTCCCCTAACCTCCCCTTCCCCCTTACCCTCCCTTCTCACGCTAATCCTTCCCTTAGACGAGCCACCCCAAAATCAGCTCCGCCTTCACCAGTCCACCCACCCCACCCATTCCCATCCCAACCCATTCATCCTCCCTCCCTCCTCCCCTCCCCTCCCTCGAACATCTAACAGGACCAACTTCCTTGCGCTTCGAGCTTCCTCCCTTCAATTCCCTTATGCGTAAAATGATTGGTAATCCAGTGGCTGCGAACTGGACTATACTGTACTGTACATATATCCACCGCTGCCTACCGGCTCCTCTCGTCTCGAAATCTCGCCTACTCTCATCTACAGATTACACGTCGCACCGCGGCGCGTGTACAGTGATAACATAGGTGTCGCTATTGACGTCACGAACGACTCACGAGTCTTGACTGTTCCGCCCGTATTATCCCCCTGCTTCGAGGTTGGCTTCTCCCACTGCGGATTTGTCGCTCATCCTTCACTTCTTCGTGAGTCGACCTCACTCATCGAGGGAAGTTTTTTCCCCTTCCCTCCCCCTCTCCCCCTCCCCCGAACTACCACTCCATTCCATTCACCTCAGGCTGCGCTCCAGAGCAGGGCTGACGATTCAAGGGCAAATGCCCTTAATGCCCTGAACATTAAGGGTTGGGTTCGGCCCAGCTTCCGAATCTTAAGGGCTGGCTTTGAGGGAAGCCCTTTCCCGCTAAGTGCTGGTTGTGGGCCTAATCCGGATTTCAAGTGCAGATCCCGCGGCTAGCCCCTATCGTCCCATACTAATACCTCCCTCCCTCCCATTCGCTCACCAGTCCCCCCACCTCCTCCCAGCCACTCCCCCTACTTCCTTTTCCCATCCCCGTCAAAACCATCGACATGTTTCGTACCTCAGACACCTAGCTGGCTCTTAGTAGTTTGCCTAGGATACGGACCCGAAGAGATGGAGGTTTTCCTTAGCGAAAGTGCAGAAAAGTTGGTAGCCCTTATTTCAAGGGCCAGGTTTGCTCTCAGCCCGTAAATTTCAGGGCAACTTTTGGGGCACCTCAGCCTCTCAAGTTCTGGCTCCAAACCAATGGACAGCCCTGCTCCAGAGTACATTACTGTGGTGTCGTGTTCGACTCGCAAAGCTGACCGAAAAGGCCATCGAGGTTTGAGAGACACCGGGAGAGTGGCAGTCGGGAAAGGGTACATGAATCCTCATATATATGCCAATTGCTCCCGCCTGCTCAGACTCGATAGAGGTTACCGGGTTACCAGTCTAGTCATCGCCGCACACCGCCAGCCCAGCAGGTGCTCAGATGTCTTATTTCTCTGATGTATTCCTCTCGTAGTAACCGTTTCTTTGGCGTACGGTCTCAGGAGGACATATGTTACGAGAGGGACGCGCGTATACATCTGATGTATTCCTCTCGTTTCGAGGCGTACGGTCTCAGGAGGACATATGTTACGAGAGCGATGCGCCGCGCATAGTATGGCCTATGATCGTATACATCCGGATGTGTCGCTCTCGTAGCATCGCAGGACGTCGGCGCCACGTCATCATATTTCGCGACCCGCAACTGTGCTAAGTAGGCGTCTGCAGTTGCGGCAGCAATCCCGTTCTGCGAGTATTATTCGAAATGCGGCCACTTAGTAATAGGAGTGCTTCGTGTAGGTTCCACCGCGGCAAATTAGGGTTACCATTAACGAAAGCGATAGAAATGCGAGAGTGCTTAGCGTGGATGAGACGGTCTCGGATCGCTATTCTGCTGTTGACTGTGGTCGCTCTCAGTTGCACCGCAGTTCACGCCGAAAGTCGCGCCGTGTCTCACGCCGCCAATGACGCTGGATGCAGCAGTAGTAAGCAGGCATCCGTAGTTGGAAGATCCTCCAGAGAAGCGTCTCGACTTTCGTTTCCAGACGTAGATGATTCGCTGCCGGACAGCGCGGCGAAAACTTTCGACGAAGGTAGTAGCAGGTTACAACGAGAGTCGAGGCCCGGCGAAGAAGTACCTGCTTCGGCATCGTTGGCGAAACAGGGTGGCGGGGACCTTGCGGAGGGTGGCGAAATATTATGGCGAGAGGTTACGCCATCCCAAACGCAGAAGACACAAAGGGAAATGCAAGTGGCGGAGATACAAAGGGCGGAAGCGGCGCAAGGGGCGGAAGCGCAAGGGGAGGGCGACTTGGAATCAGGAAAGCACAAAAGCAGCGGAGACCACGGGGAAATGGTTCTGGCAGAAGATAGGTCCGATCAACGACATAACTGGTGGAGCTCTTTCAAGTCGCTTTGGACGAGTAACGAATTGACTCCAAGCGCGGACGACGAGGGTGCTCCTAGAGAAGCACGATTCGCCAAGGATGAAGCGAAAGGTGGAAGTGACGAAGGAGGGGAGGCGGGAGAGGGGGAGGAGGCGGAGGATGAAGGGGACGGGGAGGAGGGAGAGGAAGGGCGGATTGGGGAGGAGGAATACGCAGGTGAGGAAGAAGAAGGGGGAACCGGGGAGGCGGGGGGCGACTCGGAAGGGGAGTGGGACGAGGGAGGGGAGAGCGATGACGAGGGGGAGTGGGACGAGGAAGAGGAGGGTGACGAGGAGGGGGAGTGGGATACGGATGCGCTTGGAGGAATGAGCGCGGAGGAGCTAGATGGGCTCTGGCGGGCGGGGGACGACGCGGCGGAAGGGGAAGGGGAAGGAGAATGGGAAAGGGAGGGGGAGGGGGAAGGAGGAAAGGACCGGGACCCAGAATGGGGCACGCGGAGGGGGGATGAGTGGGACATTGGCGCGCAGGGCTGGGCGCGGCCGGAAGAAGCGGATGACGTGGCGGAAACGGCGGAATCGGAGGAAGCCGAGGCGGAAGGCAGCGCGCGCAGGGAGGGGAGCGGAGAGCGTCGGAAGGACAGATCTGGATCCGATGTTGGGTCAGACGAAGCAGATGTGACAACAACGAGCGTAGCGCAAGCGCAATGGACGAGCGACATCGCCCTCAGCGAACCAGAGATCGACGAAGAGCTTTCGTTAAAGGGAAAGCGACGAACGCCGCAGCGCTCCCTCATCGCAGTCGCCAGTGCCGTTACCGGCGGTCGCAGCGTCGTTACACGTGCGACACCGAAATCCAATCATATCGGCGGAAAAAAACCCAAGTTTCCCTCGAGCGCTGGTAAAAGGAGGAGTGGAGGTTCCGGTGCGCGATCCAGTTCAGCGAAGAAGCTACGGAAACAGTTTCGCAAACGCTTTAAACGAGGATCGCAGCAGCTTCTGAACCTGCTTTGGAGTATCGCGGTAAAGGTGAATAATACGAAGCAGTTTGGATCGTTGCGGACGATTATAAGCGCGGTGATTACGAAGGGGGTGATTATCGCTTCAGAAGCGCTCGGGTTGAATATTCCGGAAGGACGTGCTTTCATTGCGACGCTCGTCGTCGTTGCGCGATCGAATGCGACAGGTGGCGACGCTTCTGCTTCTGCGGGAGCTGCTTCTGGCAATTCGTCGTTGTCTCCGGTACGCACGAAAGCTTGCTTCATGTTCTTTTTGTTTTTTGTTTCTTTTTTCCTTCTTGTAGGTTCTTATTTCCTCGTTGTGCTTATCAGAACCAATACGCTTGCTCGCTAACTCTCCAGAATACGCATTTCCTGTGTCTTGTTAGCGAATGTCTGTAGTGTCTTGCTCTCTGCCCGGCCCAACTCACCTGCTTTGTTTTTTCTTCCCACCTCGTCATCCCCGTTACAGGCTACATTCATTTACGACGTTGCGTACGTTCCAACAAACAACACCTCAAACCGTACAGTTCCCGCGCCGCCTCCGCCTTGCCCTTCTCCTCCTTCGCAAGTCTCCCCCTCGCCCCCTCCCCCTGGTAATCCTTCCCCCACGTTCTCCCCCTCCCCGGCGCAACCCCAACCCTGCAATCCGCGAACCCCCCCCTCCCCTGGAAATCTATCCCCTCCCCCCCTCACCTCCCCCTCCCCAACTCCCCCTACTAACAACTCGTTAGAATCACCCCCGTTACAACCACCACCAACCTCACCCAAACCAGCCATACCGCCGCCAGGCTCGGTTTCCGAACCTAGTCCTCCTATGGTTGTGGGTTCCACCAGTACCTATTTCGAGTTTACCTCACCCCAAGCCTCCAATAGCAGCAGCAGCAGCAGCAGCAGCAGCAGCAGCAGCAGTGGCAGCAGCACTACCAGCAGCAACGGCAATACCCCCTCCAATCCACCCAAGCGACAGCTGGCAACTATATCCCCCTCCAGTAACCAAACCCCCAGGCCAGCAGGTGGTGCAAGAGGTTCGGCAGCCGCCTCGGCAGCAGGTTCGGCAGCAGGCTCGCCGCGGGGCATCGACTATGTGTTCCCGTCCTTCACCCCTTCCTGCTCCTCTGGCCCGTTCGTCTCCATGCTCTTCATTCCCCTCAAGCCCTCCTGCCCCAGTCCGCCCAACACAAGACAACTCACTGTAATCACGTGAGTGTTCTTTCACACCCTTAACTCCTCCTGCTCTCAAACCCTCCTGCCCTAGTCATCCACCCCTTCCTGCTCCTCTGGCCCGTTTTTCTCCATGCTCTTCATTCCCCTCAAGCCCTCCTGTCCCAGTCCGCCCAACACAAGACAACTCACTGTCATCACGTGAGTGCTATCCCAGAACACTTATTCTGTATTCCCTTAACCCCTCCTGCCCAGTCCCCCTGAATGCATTAAGTCCACCCTGTCATCTTGTGATTGGTACTCCACACGTTTGCCATTGTAAACCACTCGTCAGCCCAGGTTCTAACAAACCCTCCCAGTAGTAGAACAAAATCGCAACAATTACGATTCGTGGACTTGATTTCCCTCCTGGTGGGAGACAGCTCAATGTAATCATAGCACATTGAATTGTCATGACTGTTGTTCCTGTTGTGTTCTTTGCTCCTCTTTTCTCCCTTCTATGACTACTGCTCCATTTGTTTTCTACAAAGTTTTACTCCATTCTTAGATGCATTACTCACGAGTTTGTGAAACTAATCATGCTGACTGCTCCTTTCCATTTCAGGTATAAAAACATTCGATACCTGCGATTGCGATTCGGGTTGCCCGGAAAAGGCTGCCAGCGCCTGTATAAGTTTCAGCTGCCCAACTTTATGGGACGGCTGGTGAAAGGGCCAGTGACAATGAGGGTGTGTGCTCAGGGCAAGCCGAAAAAAGACTCGTGTGGGGTTATGACACTCACTGCTGCTGTTCCTTCCTGTAGACGGTAATGCAACAGTACCGTATATTTCTTAACATACCGTATGTTTGAAGTTCTGTAACAAAAGTTACGTTCATTCATGGAACATTTTCACACTCCTCAAAACAGGGTACAGTCCACATCTCTTCTGTGATATGTGTTCGCATGCCGATAGTTCACACACGATCGTTGTGTAAGATTGAATAAAATGAGGAAAGGGGTACAGCACACCTTCCAATACATAACATCTGTTGGAAACAATAAGTCCTAAGTGCGCTTCTGTCATATCAAAATCCAAGGCACCAAGCGAAGCAGTCCCAATCGAAGCATCGAGTCAACCTCGGAGGTTAGGGTAACCGCCTGGAGGTTACGAGAAAGTCAAAGGTCGCTGACCTTTGACTCGACAATTACAGCGCGACAGTTAAGGACACACAACTGACTCGTTACAGAGCAGTTGCCCGAGTCGCACTATATCGAACCGCAACAGCAATACAGTTATCTATCTATCTATTCGTATTCCCTGTACTCTTATATAAATCCTTGTATTTGCTTGTTTAATTTAATCTACTTTGCTCTCACACACCAGTGCAAGGTCGGTTCACAATCCTCATTAAAACGCTTCCGTTATTACAAGTTTCTACCCAAGAGTTCTCCTCTGCAAAGATCCTAAGGGCTATTTTTCAGCCCAACATGGTATGAGAGCGGACAGGGGAAAACTCTAACTCTTTTCAAAATCATTTCAAGACATGGCAACAAACAAGGAAAGGAGCTCTCCTAATGACTCCTCGGGCACTATTCCTACTCCACCACCAGCCTCTGGCCTGCAGACAGAGGAAGGCACGGCAGCAAGACCAAGGGGAACTTCAACCGAGACTCCTACGAACCATCCTTCTGACTTAGACCAGAACATGATGGAGAAATTCTTCTCCTTCATGTCCTTCTACGAGCAACACCAGCAGTCGGGATCTGCACAGACACACAACAGCAACAACCGAGCGGCACCCATGAGCCTTGACGGGTCGTCATACGCGCGAGGGAATCAACAGCAGCAACCCACCTTCGCCCCGTACGAACGCGGGTCGATCAGCTTCCTGCCTCAACCTCCACCTGCGCAAGACAAACCAATGGATGCCTTAAAGTACAGTCGCAGTTCGCGCATGTTCTGAAACTACAGACGTCAAGACCTTTCGACGGAAAGGACTTCTTTACCTGGTCCTTTGAATTCGAGTTGATGATGGAGGGCGCGCAGATACTCGGCTTCTTCGACGGATCCCTGCAGTATCCAGCAAACGGGACACAGTATGAAAAGCAGCAGTATACGTATCAATCCATGATGGCGTATACTATTCTACTGAGAAACATCACACCAACCCAGCAGCAGAACATTCGCTCTTACGGGAACTTCGGCAACTCGGCGGAACTCGCGTACGGCCATCTGAAGAACCTGTACCAGGCAACAGACAGTGTAAACCAGAGCAGGTTAATGGCGCAGCTGACAACAGTTGAAATGAAACCAGGAGAAAAAGGGTTGGCGTATATCAGCCGATGTCGCGAATTGCGCGACAAGCTTCTTCGATGTGGAGGGTCAATCTCTGAAGACGCCTTCGTAACAGTCGTCATCGGTGGCCTCGGTCCTCAGTGGCGCGCCACCAAAGCAATTCTTCGAGCACACGGGAGGATCTCCGAAGCGGCACTTTGCGCAGAAATTCACGCCGAGCAGCAGGATATGGACCTGCAAGAAGAAAGACACAAGAAAAGGACATTAGCACCGGAGTTTGCTTTCCATACTCAGCGACGACACAACAACTACAACAATCGACAGCAGCAGCCGAAGCTAGTACCTCCATTTTGTCACATCTGCAAGACATCAGGACACCCACGCACGCACTGCCCGTCTCGACAGACAACACCACAGCGACAACTGCGGCCTTCAAGCACCCAAGTTGCTTCGACACAAGCAAGCTCGACAACCACGATTCAAGCTTCAACGACCTCAACTGGACAACCTGCACAAGGAGCAAGACATATAGTCAACTGCATGGTCAAGATAAACGACTCTTGCATAACAGAGTCACCACCCCATTACTCACCGGAAGAGGAGCTCGACAACAGGACGCCTCGTCGCGAATCACTCCATCCAAATCCGACTTACGCCGCTATCGCTCAAAGTGAACCGTCCGGCCAAGACACCTGGTTCTTGGACAGTTGGTGCGGGCAACACATGTGCTCTTCCGGGCGTTTCGTACAACGCGAACATCGACTCCAACGGGAAGTGATCATCACGGTTGCCAACAACCAAAACCTGCGCACACGAAGACAAGGAGTGGTACAGCTTCAGTCAAGAGAAACAAATGTCATACTGCACATGTCTAAGGTACTCATCGCTGAAGGACTCGGCTACAACTTACTGAGCGTTAGCCAGTTGATGGCGAAAGGAATTCATCTGGAAGCCGACAGCACGACCCAGGAGTTCAAGCTTTACCACGGGAGAGGCGGTCTCTACATCGGGAAAGCAGTGCTGAAGAACAACGTCTTCGTCCTCGACTTCGCTCCCGACCTCGGCACTGCAGACAGCGACGCCATTGTGAACTTTGCTGATTGGACACACCCTCCGGATCTCGACCCCGACTTCAGCCCGGGAGGTTTCTGGTACTCCCACACTATCCCTGAAGCAGAACGAACAAGAGCGTTAGCAACGATTCAACAAGAAGCAGAGACGACAACATCGGCAGCAGCGACAACATCAGCAGAGACGACAACATCGGCAGCAGCGACAACATCGGCAGCAGCGACAACATCGGCAGCAGCGACAACATCGGCAGCAGCAACAACATCGGCAGCAGCAACAACATCAGCAGCAGCAGGAACAACGACACCAGTCACAGTCGACGAAGCACCACCAACACCCGCGCAACAGCTGAATCCGACTCAACGTGAAGTCCACCGAAGCGCCAACCTCGTCGCCAGCTTTTACTCCAACTCCGACGCATATCAGCGTTCACCCGGACACCGCGCCTCTGAAGAGATATGGCACGCACGCACAGGACATCCAAGCAACACGGTTTTGAATAACACGATAAGAGCAGGAGTCCTTGACAAAGACTCTCTACTTCTACCCGATGGCAGAGAACTCCAGAAGGCACGAGGGACTTGCCTTATATGTCCCGAAGCTGACTTACCTCATCGACCGTTTGCTTCACATCACAACCCGAGCGCTCCAGCGTACGCACCACTCGAAAAAGTCTACAGCGACATCCTCTACAATCGCGAACCAGGACAAGTCAACTACAACTACACCATCACCTTCATCGACGCCGCCACTCGATACGTCTGGCATCGCAACCTACCCAGCCGCGACATGGCGCTCGTAGCATTCGCCGCCTGGCTACCGATAGCAGAGAGAGAGTCTGGAACACAACTGAAAAGTTTCCACTCAGACGGAGGTGGCGAGTACACCTCTCAGCGCTTCAAGCAGTTCTTGGCGGAAAGGGGGATCAAGCAACTCCTCTCCCTTCCCTACGCACATCAGCAGCAAGGTGTTGCAGAACGACTGAACAGGACCCTGCAAAACAGCATGCGCAAACTGTTACGTGGCATGCGGCTACCCAACCACCAGTGGCCAGCAGCAATGGACCACGCTGTCATGCTGCACAACTTGTTGTCGTCGTCGTCACTCCCGAACAACGCATCACCGCATCTACTGTGGACAGGGAAGCAGGGCAGCACGAAAATGTTACGAGTTTTCGGGTGCATGGTACAGTACAGACCCCCAGAAGCACGAGCGGGAAGATTTTCGCAACGGGCACAGTGGGGACTACACCTCGGCATCGAGAAAAATTACAACGCATGGAGAATCTTCGACGTCCACACAAAGGAAACAGTAGCAGCACGTGACGTGATCTTCTACGAAAGACTCACCCTTCAGACGTACCTCGCCAACTTGCACGAGAATCGGGACCTCACCAGTGGTTTTCGTGGTGACCGAGCCTTCGCGTCAGCAGCGGACGAAGCAAACTGGGATGAACAGAACGTCGACAACGCCTCGGAAGAAGCCGGACCTCTCCCATACTGCTCCGTCGACGTGCCCATGGATGAGGATAATCCTCGCGACAGTAACAACGCCGAAATCTTCTACCGTTTCGCCGACGATGGTTACGTAACACCTGTGACAGTCAACACCAACGAAGCAGAAAGGGTAGGGCCAAATTTCATGCCCGACCCAGAAACGGGAGACAAAGCAACTTATCCCGAGGATCCAGAACTCC